AATAAGACAGGGGCAAAGAGATAACCAAAAAACAAGGGTCTTGTACATCTTGTACTGAATGCTTTTTACAAAAGTACCTACAAAATATACTGTGTTTTTGTGTATTATATAAAAAAAAGGAAACAGGGTGGAGCAGTGAGCATCAGTGCACTTTGCAGGCTACTTACACAGGAATTACTACTACATTAGAAAGAGTAAGAAAAATTAATTTTGTTGAAAAAATATTAGCTATTGAAGATAAATTACAATAGTCTCAGTCTCTTTTCTTTACTTTCCATTTCCTTAGCATTAACTTATCCCATCCATCAAATCGCTTGTTAACAACGTAATGAATGACAAATGGTATTCCCATTATGATTGTCATGCATAAAGTTGCTTGTATCCAGTAGTAAATAACAGCTGTACATAGCACGAGCCATCCCACCAATAATGCTAAAATCTTCAGTCGTGACATCAAAGTCTCTCTCAGAACAGGGCCAGGGAACGAATTGGTCTCATAAAACTGTGTCAGTAGTTCATCTTTTTCACGCCATCTCTTCTTTAGCCATTCACCTAGCTCTTCATCTGATGAAGGCAGGCTTGATGATGGATGATACTTGATATGAAAATGAATTTCCTTAGGCCAATGACCTTTCAAAAAAGTAAAATTAAAAAGAAAAAAGAAATGCATACTTACCTTTTACAAGCTGGCTTTCTCCTTGAGGTATGTCTCCAATATATCCAATAGAAACGTCACACACATCAAAATAAGGATACCTGTTCTCTTCTTTTAAAGTCCTTACGCATTTAACAAAACCGGTTGTTCGTGGATGCAGGACGCATTTATTGAGAGGCAAGTTATTCTTAAGGGCATAGTCTTTATCACGCTGTCTATTCCCTGGAGACAAGTCTGTACCTTCAGGAAAGATTACCAATTCCATGGGAAATTTCATATCAGCGTAGTACTGAATTGATTCGGTAAGATGCACTTCGTCTTCTGCCCACTTTCTTTTTAAAAATATGAAATTTAATAATTGCGTTCCCGGGCCTATACATCAAAAATGGAAAGTTACGCTGTGTCCTGCTTAGTAAATTATCCTTTTAATTGCTTACCAAAAATCGGTACACTCTTTAATGAGGACTTGAGAATGATGCGAACATTTCCAAGTCGTCCAACATGTCGAAGCATTGTAAAGAGGAAGAACCAGTCAAAACGAGTCCTGTGATTCAGTATTATTAAAGTTGGAACACTTTTAGATACTTTCTTCAGGTCACCAACTAATTTCATTCTTATGCCTAAAAGTTCTTTTTTAAAAAAGGAAAAAAATCATGGCCAATTTTTATAGCTTAACTTACCAAACAAACCCTAAAATAAGATGGATAAAGATAATAAATATTAATAATTAAGTTATAAATATTAATAATTAAGTTATAATTATTATTCATTGCCTCACTCACAGAGACTAAATGTGTCCAAAAATAGAGTATACCAGACACATAGACGGTGTGGAGGCCAGGACTAATGAAGAATGTGAGAATAGCTGGAATGAAGAGAACATGAAGCCCAAATACAGCAGTTATTACTATGAGCAATACAAAACATACACCTTTCAGCATCGAGGCCATAATTAATTATAGACCACCCAGAGTGAGAATTGCAAAAGCTATGAATTTCATTAATTTTATATACGATATCCGCCCACGCACCATAATTGGCTGCCATTTTGGTTGGCAAGTTTGTTAAGGAAGTCAATGGAGGCACGAAGAAAATGCCTCACTTACCTGCTGTAGCTCTATCAATAGCTAAAAAGTGCTTGTTATAAGAAAGAATAGCTACCTTTAAGCTTAAGCTTATCCTGTGAAAGATTTGGTCAAATTCGCTCCAGAATTCTTAATACAGGTTTGTTTTTATGTCGTCCCGTTTGCTCTCCATTGAAAGTTGCCAACCAAAATGGCGGCCGGAATTTATTTCATTGTAAACCACGCCTTACAACCGTAATAGTCTTCTTACGCAAGCAATTCTCTTTAACTCTGCAGATCTGGGTGGTCTATTAGCTAGATTTATGCATAGGACTCCTCCCTAGACTTCCCATTTAATTGCAGCACACAGACATCACACCATATTGGATTGAAAGGGAAAGCATGAGTGAGCCTGAGCCTCAGCCTGAATCTGCACGCCATGTCTATCACAGAGGCTTCCCTCTCGATGACAAGACACGTCCGTCTCTCTTTCATCGTCTGATGCGGACCACAGGGTTCAGAATATTCTGGGCACTGTTTATCATAGCGTTCAGCACAGTTCCTGTTACCTTCCTCACCATCTATGTCTTCTCTATCGGGATACTTGGCATAGTCGGGCACAGGAAACTGAGGACTTTTAGTGACTGGTCCATTAGATCATGGCTTAATTCCATGGCTGTGAGTGATTTAACTGATTTTATCAACAGTATGACAATGTGTTTGATTAACAATACAGCATCATGTGTATCGATTAATGTGTTTTCCCCTTCTTTAAGCTGTTTACTATTGCTTATTGCTCTAACGCCTAATGACAAACTAGTTTATCACTGCTAAATGTGATAATGAAACTGTTAACAACACAATTACAGCCCACTCTTTAATAGCAATTAATTCACTATTGTAAACATCGATTTCTCTTATTTTTTGTATGTTTTTCCTCCTACATTGCTACTGAAACAGTTTATCACCAGTAAGTCATGAGGAAAGAAATGAGACAGAGAGAGAGGAACAGCTATGCATGAAGTATAGCTTCACCTATTTCCTCCCTCCTCTCTCTCTCTCTCTCTCTCTCTTCTTTTAGGGTACATTCTAGGTATAAAAGTGAAAATTTACGGAGATAGCCGAAGATTTGATAAACACTGTCTCTTTATTTTGAACCATCGCTGTCATTTTGACTGGATGTTCTTTTGGGATGTAGCTGGGAAGCTGGGCAACCTCAGCTGGTGGATGGTAATGCTTAAGAACTCGTTAAAACGTGTACCGATTGCTGGTTAGTGAACTTCTTTGTGTAGCTAAGTAGAGAAAAGAAAGGAATGTAATTTATTTTTTAAGATGGATTAATTGATTGTTATTAAATTATGATGCAGCAGGGTTTTCCACAAAGCATGCTAAGTGAACTGAAAAGGCTTCTTGAGCTGACAAGCCATATGATAGCATAACAGTTATTAGAGATGCTTTAAAATTTATAGACAATTCAATTTTGATGGAATCACTACATGGTATATGTAGCAAAAGATATTAAAAAATGGAGAATTTTTTTTAGTAATTTTTGGCAAAATTTGGCTAAACACACTGTACTATAGTACAGGGACTTTGGCCTGATTTTTGAGTAACTTTAAACATTTGTAAAAAAAATCCAAATTTGATCATAATTAGTTCAAAGTTGCTACACAACATTAAGAAATTTATATGTATCAGAAAAAGTTATAAAATGAAAAAATCTCTCCTAGTCATTTTAGTAAAATACCCTGTACTACAGTATCAACCAGATTTTTGAGCAACTCAAAAATTTGCCAGCAAGCACTATGCTGAAATCCTATGGAAAACCCTGCAATGCATGCTTCTCTTTTCTTCTATTGTTCACATTCACTTCTCTCCTCTCTATCAAGGTTGGGCAATGCAGTATCGTAACTATGCCTTCTTGTCAAGAGACTGGGAATCGGACTACAAAGAGTTTGCTTGGAAGTTCCATTATCTCAATGCCACCGGAGAGCCTTACCAGTTCCTCATGTTCCCCGAGGGACGCGATCTCACACCAATCCACCAGAAAAAATCCGACCAGTTTGCAGCCGAGAAGAGCCTACCAAGATATGAGTACACGCTCCATCCAAAGACCAAAGGTTTTGTGTACGTCATTAAGGCACTAAAGAAAGGTCGCCTCGAGTCTGTGTATGATATGACAGTTGGATACCCTGACGTACTTTCAGCAACAGAGATTGAGTTCCTCTCTGAGGGACGTATTCCTAGCGAGGTTCACTATCATGTCAAGAAATACAACATTTCGGAATTACCCGAGTCGGAAGAAGAGTTAGAGGCGTGGCTACGTCAGAGATGGGCTGAGAAAGAGGAGAGACTGAGACTTTTTTACAAGCATCGCAAGTTTGTCCAGCTACCCTGTGACGATAAAGAGATACAGAATGGGACGAGTAGGAATGCTCATGAGACATCAAATGGTAACAGTTCTCATGTCATACCCTCCCCTGAGGTCAAGCTTTATTTCCCGTGGTGTCAACTACTGGAAGGATTGATTTTCCTATTATTTCTGTCCGGCGGTAGTTTGCTACTGTGCTATTATTCGTGGATTGGTATAATAGCACTTCTTGCCTCGTTTGTTCTCAATGGATATTTTTGTACATATCATGGTAAAATGGACTATCTAATAATGGATCATTTTAGAAAGACTTGTGCCGAGTTCCTACCAGAAGACTATAAAAAGGAAGACTAGGCCGTATAGAGAGAGAGAAATAAATATTTTTGAGCTAGCATGTTTTTCTAGAGTGCTGCTTTTTTGTTGTGTTATATATTTTGTATGTATCTATATTTAGCTGATGTTATTTTTGGCAGGTCTTTTAGTAAAAAAAATTAATAATAAAAAATAATAAAATTTTATAACTAGATTAATTGTATGTCACGTGATGATGATTGTGGTCGATCTTGCCGTCTTCTTACGCTTATTAGTTATTAGTGCTTTTAGCTGATTCAGCAAGTCTTTACCAGATCAACAAAAAGTCATGTCTTCATCTTCAGTAGTTAGCAGTGATGCTGGCAGCTATCCTAGCAGGGATCCAAACTCCATGTCACTTGATTACTACAACAGTGAGTTCACTAACGAATTCTGTCACGAAATTTAGCATATATGCACATTACAATCTCTTTTTGTTTAGGTTTTTCATCTTCAAGCCATTCTTCTCATCATCGTGTGATAAGCCGCTCATCCCATTCCCCACGTTCATCTTTCTCTCCTCTGTCTTCTTCTGTACGCATTAACAATCCCACTACACTATCTGCGAAGAATCCTTCAGACTCTATCATTCTAAATGAAGCTCGAGGTTCCCATAACTCTTCATCTTCTCTTCAAGTCTCCTCCTCCTCCTCTTACGATAGACACCCTCATCCTCGTACCTTTCCCATCTCCCCTACGGGTCGTCATAGTGACAGGAGGCCACACCCTCCAGACGAGCTCCAAACCATGATACAGACGGCAAGTAGTTGCTATCATGCGTTGGATTACAATCAAATGATATTCGTCTTACAGTCCGTGAAACTCACTCCAGATCTGGAACCGATTGAGGCCATGGCGGTCAGCTTTGGTTTGGGTTTGGGGTATTTCAAGCTCTCGTCCTACGAGACCTCAATGCTTCACTTTTTAAAGATGGAGACGCTAGCAAAAGAAGAGGAGGGGAAAGCAGGAGAGACTTCTAACTTGGCACTAGTTAGCTATTATCTTGCCGAGTTGGAATACAGTCAGAATAAGTTTCTCTCGGCTGCTGGTTATTTTGAAATATCCGCCAAATCATATGTTACCAAAGGAGCAGACGTGGGCGCCACTTTATACAATGTCCACATTCCCTCCCTCTCATCTCTCTATTGTAAGTGTGGGACGGCACTCCGCTACGGGTCAAAGGTTATGGAAGCCATTAAAGCTTTCCGCAAGGGAGTGGATCTGGCGAACTCCTCTTGTGACTGGGAAGACAAACTATCCGCCCACACGAGCTTAGGAAACCTCTATCAGAGTCTCGGAGAATTCAGTAAAGCCGTTAATGAGTATCAGGAAACTCTGAAACTCTCGGATAAATTAGAAGACTATGTCTCGCTAGGTTGGGCTCATGGTAATGTTGGCAATGCATATCTTGGACTGGGAAATATAGATAAAGCACTTGGTCATTTGAGAACTGCTCTTGAGCTTACTTTAGAGCATGAGCCAGTCCCTCAGGCTATTGGGAGAGCTTATAATAACTTGGGGACTGCCTATCAGTCAGCAAACTGCTATGATAAAGCAAGGGAATATTATGAACTAGGACTTAATCAGGCAATTTATGGGAATGATCTGCCAGGACAAGCAAGGTTAGTTTGTGACTAATAATTGTCAAAAATTGTGATAATTGTGTTATTGTCAAATAGTTTAATAACTTTTTTAGTTACAAGTGTTTAAAAAATAATGCCAATACCATAGAATTTCTCTCCTAATTATTTAATTTTTATCTTTATAGGGTATATGGTAATCTTGGTAATCTCCTTATGCTTGAGAACAAATACTCTGAAGCTATAGTTCATTACACAGAGACACTGACCATCAGTAAAGACAGGGCAACACACGTCACTGCATACCACAACAGAGGGTGTGCCAGATTCGAAAGAGCAGAAGAAGAAAGACAGAAATACCTAAGAGATGGTGTAGGTAATGCAGAGCTTACTACTGGAAAGAAATCAAATTTAATATTCATTGGAGCTGACGTGAAAGACTCAGAAGAAGAACACAAGTTTGTTATGTTGCCTGATTCCCTAATCAAGCATTATCGGGACTCCCAGTCCGACCTAGAGAGAGTTGTGAAGCATCACGAGCAGACCTTCAGAGACATCAAAGGATCTCAAAGAGGACTGAGTCTCTCTGTCTCTCTCTTTGAGACAAACGTCCGTACGTTCCAAAGACTACAAGACTGCTCGTTCTATCTCGACCAATGGAAGCAGGCCCTAGTGTGTGCAGAGCAGTGCCGCTCACGTACTCTAGGAGAGCTACTCTTAGGCAAGCACTCAAATCATCTCAAGTACTCATTCCGTACTCCATTGGACCTGCCTCAGATTATCAGTATAGTCAAGGATCAGAGCCTGCCAGTAGTGTATATGACTTACACTGGGTCTCGCATACTCATTTGGCTCCTCATCCCAGTTGAGGACCAACCAATGAGTGTTTCTATTAATCTCTCACAGGTCGCCCTAGAGCCAGAGCAGTTTGATGGCAAGTCGTTTGATCACTTGGTCAAACAGTCACTGGGTGAGACTCTCATTGATGATAACTTCAATATGTATGATACGATAGACTACGAAACTCACACATTGCTCAATGACCTTCACTCGCTCATTGCCTCTCCTTTACTTCGGTTGCTCAAGTCTGTCGTCCTTCCGGAGCACTTCTCCTCGTTGCAAGACTTGATCCTAATATGTGACAGTCACACTAATCTCATTCCTATTGCTGCGCTTCAGGATAGTAGCTCCAGACGTTTTCTTGGAGATGACTTCCGTTTCCATTCAATGAGTTCTTTGCTAACATTAGGAATCATGCAGCAGCTTCCATCTCCACTTGTCACCCTCCCATTGGACCCTATCAATACTTGTATAGTTGGGAATCCATTCACTTCGCCTTTTCAGTATCAAGGCAATACCTGGAACCTTGGGCGATTGCCTTATGCCGAGGAAGAGGCTCAGCGTGTGGCGCACACTCTAGGAGCTGTGCCCCTCCTTGGTAAAGAGGCCATGAAGAATGTTGTCCTCTCTAAGATTAAACACTCTAAGATAGTTCATCTTGCCACTCACGGGAATGCCTCGTCTGGGTTTCTCATTTTCTCAGGCTCCAGTCCCATCTCAGTTGCAACAGACCCAGAGTTTGCAAAGTCCGTCCTTCTGGTTACACAGGATATTGAGACCCTCACCATCCCTGCAGCTCTAGTGGTACTGAGTAGCTGTGATAGTGGCCGTGGTATTGTAAAGATGGACGGCATACAAGGAATAGCCCGGTCCTTTTTGCTAGCAGGTGCTCAGTCTGTCCTTACGTCTCTATGGAGAGTCCCTGATGAGTCTGCCGCGTTCTTTATGCATTTCTTTTATCAGTATTTGGTCGATGGTCTGCCTAGCTTTAGAGCGCTACAGAAGGCGTGTCACAGCATTCGTTGCTATGCTAAGTACAGCGGGTACATACACTGGTCTGGCTATCAGCTGCAAGGGAGGGAGATTCAGTTTGAGAAGAATACGTCTGCCCAAGAGAAGAGGAATGAGCTACAAAAGAGGATCGGAGATCCTAGCTCTTTCCCTCAATTGAATGAGCTGTTAAAGATTAAGCAGAGCCTTTTGGTTGATTCTAATTATGTCCCAAGGATATCAGAGAGTATTGGTTTTGATAATAATAAAAAGAGAGAGCTAAAGCTACAGAAAGCACTATTATATCCGCAAAGAGCTGATGTTCAAGTGAGCTATATTATTATACATGAAGTTACTCAAAAATATTTTGGCAAAAATGACTACGAGAGAATTCTCAATTTTTATACTTTTTCCTGATACATATACATGTTCTTATGTTGTGTAGCAAGTTTCAGTTGATTCTGATCAAATTTGGATTTTTTAGGAATTTTTAAAATCGCTCAAAAATTGGGCCAAAGTCCCTGTACTATAGTACAGGGTTTTTGACCAAATTTCGCCAAAAATGACTAGGAGAGAATTCTTCATTTTTATAATATATTCTGATACATATACATGTTCTTATGTTGTGTAACAAGTTTCAGTTGATTCCGATCAAGTTTGGATTTTTTATGAATTTTTAAAATTACTTGAAAATCGGACCAAAGTCCCTGTACTATAGTACAGGGTTTTTGACCAAATTTCACCAAAAATGACTAGGAGAGAATTCTTTATTTTTATAATATTTACTGATACATATACATGTTCTTATGTTGTGTAGCAAGTTTCAGTTGAATCCGATCAAATTTGAACTTTTTACAAATTTTAAAATTACTCAAAAATTAGGCCAAAGTCCCTGTACTATAATAGTATTTTGTCAAAAATGACTTAGAGAGAATTCTCCCCTTTTATAATTCTTCTGATGCATAGTGTATCAACTTTAATCATTATTTATATTTATATTTATTTTTTATTAGTTGCTGGTAGGTACTTTAGGATCATGTCCTCAGGAAGTAGCAAAGGATTATATTTTCAGTACCCATTCCTTATACAAAGGTGGAATATACTGGATACCTGGTCATTCACCTGATCTCACTACTGCAGCTCTCCAACATATTGAAGAGGTAATATTTGTATCTAATATTATTTACCTATATATTTGCAGACAATTAAATTTTAAGAGTTTGTGGATGCAAAATTTAAGTTCGCAAATAATGCATGACTTTTGCAAAAAATTTTGCCAAATGAGCTGGTTGCACAGTATATTTCTTATTTAGCGTGTAAAAATACATGTAATTTTTAAATTCAATTACCACCATATTTTTATTTTTATTTTTTTACCTCAGTCTGTTTGCCCCGGAAGATCCCTTGAAGATTTCTTTGACACTCAAACGGAGCAGATACTGCTAGTCTTGGACTCGTTCCATTCCCTCCCTCTTATCCAGAGACCCCTCAAGAAGCTCATGCTCACCACCAAATGCAATGTCCACATACTCCTAACTACCAGCCTCTCCTCCACTCCAGAGACACTAGGAGAGCAGTGTCATTACAGCCTCACTCGTGGATATCAGACTCACAGTATCAAACCAGTTCACTGCCTCTCTGCCTCTCAGAGACTCATTTATAATGTAGTGAGCCAGTTTGATCTTGCTCCTATGAATGATGAGCAAAAGATATTTAATCTCATGGAGGAATTAGCCTGTGGGCAGCCGCCACTGATTAATATCACTAATTCCCTGTTAACTGATTCCATTAGGATGTCATCTTCTTCGATCTCTGAGACTTTAAAGAAGTTTAATCAAGAGGTTATTATTAAGACTTTTAATGAGATTGCAGCTGCAAGATTCAGAGAAGAAAAGGCCGATCCAGACGCTAAGCAAAAGTCATTGGATGAAATTCGAGCTCTTTCCTTAAGAATAGGAGGATTTGGCTCACTGAAGAAATCCAGTGATGTGACAGAGTCGCATGTCTCTGATACCATTCACAAAACGGCCATCATTTATGCTCACGAGTTAATAGGCTTTGCTAAATTGGATCCATTGGAGCACCTTATCCTTTGCTGCTTATGCTTCCTCTACTGCACTCCAGTGCATAGCTCTATCATTGATGGACTCAAGGAAAAAATCAATGAAATTTATCAAGACTTGCCGGAAGGAGAATATATTGAAAAGGCTGCATGTACTTGGAACAATCTAGTTAAGTTTAATTTCATAGTCCACTACCCTCACCCTGTCGTTCAGGCCCCACACCAAGAAACCTGTACAGAAGATGACATTTATTATATTGTGCCTCCAGTTGTTTGCGAGGCTGTCCAGCTATCACTGGATGAGAGTGATAAGATTGTAGTCTCTTCCTTGCTCCATTATGTACTCGTTAGTTTAGGAAATGAATTTGAGGACAAGTATAGAATAATTAATGATGAAGAAGAGAAAGGATCTCTAAGCCTAGACAATAATGAAGAGAAGAAATCTAACCCAATGTTTAGATTGCCATCTCCAGTTCCTACCAGTTCAAATTATTTGCTCTTGCATTGTATTGCACTGCACGGTTTCTTGTTAAAAGTGATATCTGACGATTTCAAGCTGTATGGTAGAGACGTCATAACAACTGTTGCGAAGGACTACATCAAAGAAAAGCTTAGAGTACGAAGAGAAGATGCATTTGCAGAATTGGTCATGGATATGATTTTGTAAAATAAAACATAAAATTAATGTATTATAAATTTTAATTTTGACTTTTTAAAGGAAAATAATTCAGATCTAATTTGTGACGTTTTTATAGGCGTTCTTTACTGCATGCCACGTGTTTAATAGTTTAGGTTTCACCACAAAGGTCAAAATGTCTGAAAGCAGTGAAGTAGCTCCTGCTCCTCCAGCAACAGGAGGAGATCAGCAGCAGCAACAAGGGCCGCCTCGTCCCGGAGGATGGCAGATGCTAAAAACACTGGCCATACAGATGGCTTTCTTCTATCTTATCACTAGCTACTTCCGCGGGGGCAGTAATAAGAATAATACAGGACCCGATGGATCTCCCCAGGAGGCTGCAGTAAATATTTTCAGTTTTGGTGAACAAGCTGTGAGTTGGCATGTGGGCGTGGCACTTGTTTATATTATCGTAATATTAATAATAGGAGCTACAGTTGTACTTGACTGATGTTGAAGGAGATGAGCTGGCGTTGGACTCGGCTCAGCTGATATGGAGCGTACCACTGGAGTATGGTAACTGGGACGATGGACCGCTGGGCGATGGATCGAGAACCAGTGATGTCACTGTATCTGTACCAACGGTAGCCATAGTTACACATATCATTACCATGACGACCACTAATTGATTAATTGTGTGCAAATAATTATTAGCATATTTACTAGAAATACGTTGAAATGTAAACAAGAGAATAATAAAATATTATGCACCCACTCTCTTAACTAGTGTATACAAACAACTTGATGTATGTACACACGAAGCGTGTACACATGAAGCTTAATGTACACATGAATTGTATTTTTAATAATTTTGTTGTCAGCCAAATTTTGGAGCAAGTTTTAAAAATTTGTAAAAAATCCAATTTTGATCGGAATCAGCTGAAACTTGCTACGCAACATAAGAACATGTATATGTATCAGAAAAAATTATAAAAATTAAGAATTTTTTTTTGTCATTTTTGGCGAAATTTGGCCAGAAACCCTGTACTATAGTACAGGGACTTTTGCCCGATTTTTGAGTAACTTTTAAAATTAGTAAAAAAATCCAAATTAAATTGGAATCAGCTGGAACTTGCTACATGACATCAGAACATGTATATGTATCAGAAAATTTTGTAAAAATGGAGAAATCTCTCGGAGCAATTTTTAACAATACATTACCTTTACTGTTACTATATTACATTGCCATACATCCTGTCAGTGACATCTCATGTATATTTTAAAGTAAGCATCTAAAATTAGCAATAAACAAGCAATATACACATATGCCTTCTAACACTAACAATTATTTCATAAGACATATTCTTAAGCAAAAATAGCTGTGTGTATAATTTACTTAATATAAGACAATGAGTAGTATTGTCCATAAGCATACTCTATCATTACATGCATCTTTTGCCATATTGGTTTGTATTAGAGTATACAAGAGAATGGCTCCTGGTATGTTCATGTGTTGCTAGTAAAGTCTGGGAAAGCTATTGACTCTGAAGACCCACAATATGATGATAATGCTTTAGTTCATGAAATAAAATGTGAGACTGTGAGATAAGTGTATAACTAACTCTACTCTACCCCC